TTAAGCCTCTGTTTCTAATACACTGAACACAGCTGACTTCAAAATTCAAACCATAATGCTGTTAGACTTTTTTTAGTGAATAATTACTGATGCCTAAATATTTACTTTAGGAGGAAAAATATAAATGTTGTATTAAAGTTTGCAGGTTATAGTTTGACAGGTTAAGAAATAGGTTATTTGTAGGCATTTTTATTCCTGAATGAACCCTAATTCTTTACATTCCTCTAGCACTGCAGTGGGGAAGACAGAAGGGCCAGACTAATCATAAAAATATGCAGAAGATACTGGCTTGCTTTTTACATACAAGCTCCACCCATAAGTAGCATAGTAATTTACATTTTAACCTATACAAGGTCATTGTATACTTCAGAGCATTGTACTTCAGAGCACTGCATGCAACTTTTTGACAATCAACAATTTTGTCAATCTGAAGGCAAAATTGCATTGGTTCAAGTTAAACTGTTAAAAATTAAGCCAGTCACAACACCCCCATCTTGGGGGTGGTTTTTGTCCTTTAGATAGATTGTCTGCCTTCCAATACAGAGGCTTCAAATCCTAATGCTATTTTCAAAATTCTGTTATTTACCAGGAAATATTTTGAAAAAATATTCAGGAAACAGTTTTGCGTAGTAAAGCATTAATAGGACACCCTCCCTAAGAACTATATAGACTATATATACAAATGAATTGTGCACAGAAAACTGAGTTAGGAAGTATATGCATTACCTACTTAAACGGTAAAATATCATTCATGTTTTGGTTTATAAACACAAAGGTTGGGAACTACTGGGTTCTTTTGGCTAAAGCCCAATATTGGCCTTATTTCAGTTTAATTGGAAGAGGATCTTGAATTCATCTTCTCCATGAGATATCAGGAACCTGGATTTCTGTTTGTACCAAAGGTTAATAAGAAATGTGTCTGCAAAAGTCAAACAGCATTAAATACCAAAAACTGATTATTATTCTGCAGGAGTTGTTCTGTCATTCATAATCTCTCCATGCTCCAACCTTCCACAGCTAATCTTTAATGGATGACATGCAAGAAAGAAAAATAACACCTTAAAAGGGACTCTAAAGTGAGCTTTGAAGAAATGGAAAATACTTTTCCCTGGTGCTGGAAGTTATTGCCACCCAAAGTTTATTACTGGCCAGATTACTTATTTCCTCTTACGTTATGGGATATTAAATCAAACTAACTCTAAGCTAACAGCCACTTGGATATTTGTTTTCATTTGTGCTGTTAAAACTATTGCATATGCATTCTGTGATTATTTTTCAGGCTGAATTAGGAAACTTCAAATAAAATTCATGAACATTTCTATACCATATTCAAGAGTTCCAAATTACCACATATCTAAATTCTCCGCATTTTTGTAAAAACAGACCTGAAAAAAAGGACTTCAATTGCAGGTATATTGCTGTAGTTTCCAAGAGACTGAAAGCGGTATAACTTATACAGTATTAGAAGCACTGCTTTCCCCTTTTTCCACACTGTATTTCCTATCATTACCCTGGTCTTTTAGAAAGCATCTTCAGAACACTAATACAGCTTTCAGGCAGTGCCTAGCAGAACTAGCAGGGCTGGACTCAATTCACTTCTTCCTGCTAAGCTGACTGTGATTTAAAGAAGTACTAAATTTTGGCAACATTACTATTAGATACTGGAAAAAAACCAAACCAAACAACCCCCCACCAAAAAACCCCCACAAACAAACCTACTCCCATCCCCCAAACTAAAATAGCCCTTGATACAGAAAGATTTAAGGAGAAACATTTTTTTATTAAATTTTCTTTCAGAATTATTCTTAGTCATAATATATATCACTATGATAGCAACAAAAACATTCCAAGAGACGAGGCTCTAATGCCAACTATGGTCTGTCTTGTTGAAGTAATGGTGCAAGTTACTGTGAGAAGACAGTATTTTTTTCCAGTCTAGAAAGGCTACCACTATGTTTTACAATTCTCACTTGCATTCATCCAGCTTTTTACTTTGAAAGTTCCTATAAAGCCCCTGTATAATTTTTGTGCTAGGAAAAAATTAAGTCACTTACTATGTCCATCTAAAATGAGATCTGTTGTCTCTGCTAGTTTCCCTCCCACAGAGTGCATCCATTCTCTTTTCTGTTCAGCATATGAAAAGTCTGCAGTCCCACATTTCAAGATTTGTCTACTCTTCACACTCTGTTCACATGTGATGGTCTCTCATTTCCTTACATTATCCTAGTCTCAGTTCTTTTATGATTTGCTCTTCACTTGATTTTCCTGACGTTGCCTCCACCTTTGTTTTAATTCTCTTCATGATGGGGAGTAAAACTAATGGTACTTTCTGATATTGGCTTATAATGAGAGGAAATCCAACAGAAGAATAACGAAGAAACAGCAGGAACCTGTGGCAGCTATGACCACCAGAAACAATAGTCTCTAATGCTTAAAGGCCTGCAAGCAAAACTGAATTTCCTGATTTTTGCTAGCCATAAGCTACCTGACACAAACAGGGACCCAAGGAAGTTGATTTTCCAGGAAATTGATTTTCCAGGCTAGCAAAATAACCCCCTTCTGAAAATAGGATATTTATTGCACACAATATTAAACTTTCTCTTTCATCATGTATAACTTTTTCTCATTCCCTTATGAAGCATTTCACAGATTTATACTTTTTCTCTTCACTTCTTCCTTTGAGCAAAGTAAAAATCATAAAGTGACAAGCTTTGGATTATTTTTTTCTTAAGACTGTTGTAAGCTTTATTTTAAAAAGGCTTTTGTCTTCAGCTTTTCTATTCTTTACACAGGACTTGTTTAAGTAAAAGCCATCAATTAGAGAGTTACATTTTAAAATAGAATTGTAATATTCCTCAATGTAGATAACATTTTTATGGTGCTCCTTTCAGATTTTTATTTTTTTTTTATAATATAATTTTGTGGAGTCATTTTCTTATCATAAAGTCAGTACTAAGTAATAAAAATGCAAAACACCCATATTTACAAGCTTCACTCTACCATGTGCTATACACTGCAGTAATTAAACATTAACTAGCAACATGAAATCAGAGCAGCATGTGTTCTCCTTTCTTCAAAAGACATAACACAAGGGGAAAATGTTGTTCCTTAAATCCACTGAGTCTTCTTTATTAGGTTCTGCTTGTCCATTAGAACTCTTCCTAAACCTTTAATAAGAGACACACACACGGACCTCCAGAAATTCAGTTTGGTTCACATCATCACTGATTTAAAAACATTTATCCAAACTTAGTAATGTTCTTAGAACTGTAAGACAGGAAGCAAAACCCCCATGAAATATTAACAATGCTTCCTTTTAGCAAACAGCTTAAGTAGTAAGGAGCCTCTTGCCCCCTCTCTCAGCATTTAAAGGATTTCATATTTCCTGAACTCGTAAAAGGAGAAAAAAAGGGTATTTCTTAAAGGTTATCATTATCACACATTGTAGCTCTCATTAAAATCTGGTTTATTCTTCCTTTCAAAACGGTTTAACTATGTTAATTATTATATCCGTATTCATGCCATATTATTTTAAGAGAATATTGTGCTTAGGACATAATTAGAAAGTTTAAACACTAGGGTAGGAAAAAACAATTTACTAACAAACATTTCAACTGCATCCATAAAAATGAAACTAAACATGTTTTTGACACACATTTCTTTCTAGGTTTTAAGGAGCAACAAACACGTAATAATGGAAAAATATTCTCTTTGATGAAGTACAGAAGTAAAACACTCTTTAAATATCCAGGAACAAACACAGAACTTGGGATTCAACCCAGACAATTTGAATTAGCTTTCAGCTGTTGGATATAGCTGATAACCAGTGCAGATTTTTTTCCTTCTGAAAATAAAGCAAGCATTTTATGTAAAACGGAATAAGAATAAAATTATGCCTGAATTTCAATTTGTTTCATAATATGTATAGATTTACTATTTCTCCACCACAGAAAATCTAGGAACTCTCTTCCATCTATAATATACACAGAATACTGTATTCTCAGGAGTTTGGCATTAAGTGGATATTCAGCCATCTGTTTTTTTCAGCTGAAGAGTTTATTTTCGGCTTCATATTCCTGAAGATAGTTAGTCCTCCATTCAGTACCGGTATTTTGGGGACAGGTATTAGGGCTATTAACATTATGTGAAGTGTGCATGGTCTATAACGACACAATTTTACCTAGCTTACACTTTATTTATGAACATTACGATATAAATTTCTAAAAGCACTCCCAATAATTTAGTTGAAACACTTTGAGAAAGACCTCAGAGAGTTTTTCTTCCACTGGGTATGTTGTACACACAGTCACTTTTCAATAATAAAAATACTCAGCTTCATTACTTCAGAAATTTCCAAAACTGTAGAATACAAATTGTCTCCATTCTTGTATGTCTACCCAAAGAACAATTAACAACAAATATAAGCATACATTCACTTTTGACTATAAACGTAAAACCCCATTAATTTTGAGAATTTACATAAACTTCACTCACTGGAGACATACCATCACCATACAAAAGTTCATTATAACTACCAAAAGAAGAGATTTTTCAAGAAAAGTGCAGGTTTCTAGTTGAGGTGAATGTGTGACTATGTCCATGCATGGGGAGGGGGTAGTATTGCTCTGAAGGAGCTAAAACAATAAGTGGTATTTGAACTGCTGGTTGAAAGGTAGAGGCACTGGTAATCATTATTTCCCCTTGTTTGTTCAGGACCTTCCAACAAAACAAACAACCTTTTTGTGATTGGATTGACATGGTGTTAACAATGCATTTAATGCCCAAATCAGTATGAATACAGGTAAAGCTCCTGCTAATACCAGTACCAGGATGTTAAAGCCACCTATTTTCGAAGCAACTCTAAACAACCATACATAAAAAAAGAGTCAAATCTTCCCTCCTTTAGCAAATAAAGCTAACATTCACTAGGCCACGTCATATAGCAACCGTGGGTACTGTATGAGCCATACAGCCATCTGTTAAACGCTTGCCTACTGTACCTGCAATCTTTTCTGCAATCTTTGCTTCTGTAGCTCTCTCTTGCAGTTCTAAGTCCAGTTTTATTGTCTTCAGCTCCTTGTCCTTTTCAGAAAGCTTATCTTCAAGCTGAATTGAACAAATGGACAGTAAGATTCTTACCTGGCTGAAACAGTCACCTAGCAAAAGGCTTTTGAATAATAGATTCTTACCCCCCAAATACAAACACTAAGCAATACAACAGAAGATCAATTAATTATTTATTTAAAGGACAAATGTTAAAAGTATCTTTTTTATCATCTGCCCTATCTTGCTGCACAAGACAAGCAGCAATGTGTGTGCTAGTATTTTTACCTGGGGTTCACTTCTTCAGCTATCACCAGCTTGCTAAGGAAGTTCAGAATTACATGGAATTTAATGCAGATGGTATCTGCATGAACAGCCTATTTCCAACCAATATACTGAGTACTGACATCACAGCCTGAATTGACTGTGGTGTAAAAACATAATTTTTCATGTGCCTCGCTAGATAGAAAACTGGTATTTCACATGTTGAGGCTTTTCTTTTAACTGTAAATTCACTAAATCTGTTCTTGGACAAGTATCTGAGCTTACCATTGAATATTCCATGACACATCATGGAAAGACTATAGACTTTTCTGTTATTTAGGCACATACAACCTCTACTAACACTAAAAGCAATGCAGCATGCAAGTTGAATGGAATTTTCTTCTCCTCAACAAAAAGGAGGTTATCACGGCACATTCATCATTTGGACCACAAGTTCCAGACTCTATTCATGAAATCCTGGCCTTGGTTTTGGTCCTCCTTGGTTATCATCTATGCTGCAAGAACCCATGTCACTGATTAAAAAGGACAAAGAGTAAGATGAATGCAGAATTACAAGAAAGCTATTGATTGGTGCACTAAAATAAATAACAAAACTAAATCAGGAATAGTTTAAAATGTATGTTTTGTAAGACTACCATAAAAGAGCAAATACTGTGATCTGAATATCTCAATTGTACCTTTTTATTTTTTTCCCTCAGAGTGTCCAATTCTTTCAAAAGGAATGCAGTTTCTGTTTTTCCACCTAAACTGGCAGCTTTACTCCATGAAGAAACAAATTCAGGAAGCATCCTATTAGCCTTTCTTTCTACGTTGCTGTGTTTAGGAGGGGGGGGAAACAAATAAATAAATAAAAATAATGCAAAACCAGTTCCTCCCTCCCCCAAAACAAAATACACATAAATAAATTACCAAAACTTGTTAACCATTGCAAATACATTAAATAGGCAGTAAAAGGGATGTCCTTCTATCACTTCTTAAATCTGTAATTCTGAGAAAAATCTGTTTATCTAGAATAGTAAATAAATATACTACCATACTAAGTCATAAACAGATGAATAAAAATTGGCTATGAAGCCTATAAACAGAAAATGCTTAATGGAAGCAAATATTACAAGCCTGTGCTTAATAGAGAGCAACAAAGTAATGAAACATTTGGGGATCAAATTGGTGCTCTGGTTAAAACAAAACAAATTCTTCAGTAGGATGGTCAATTCCACATTTAGCGAAATGATAATATCCAGAAGACAAGATATAGGAGTTCATCTTGAAGAAATCTGCAAAATTATGGTGATGGCCACAAAAATTCTATTTCAAGGTAAGACTTCTATAAAACTTCTTGACTATCCATTGATACAGATAACTCAGATATCACTCGTAAAATGGCAGCAAAATCAGTAGATGAATGGATTAGAAGGGGGATTAGCAAATCTTTTTAACATTTGCTTCCCTTACACATTTTCTGTTTACATGCTTCCTAGCCAGTGAGTCTTAAGTTGTAAGCTGCCAAAGAAAAGCTATACCTTCTGAACTATTTCTACTCTATACATTACTTTCATTATGCATAATTCACATCCTAGAAAGAAAAGGAAAGCTATCTCTTGCTCCAAAGAGCCATTCCCTTAGGTAGATCATTGTTTGTACTCAGCCACCCCTTTCTTCACCTGCTGCCACTGGATTTATTTTCTCTATGGTTCTTTAAGAAGGAAATTAAGACCTGTGCTCTGCAGGCAAACTGTAGTGCAACCCAAAGCACTTCAAATACAGGTAGCAGGCAGATTTGCATCAAAACATTATTTAGTTTATTACACTACATATGGGTTAGAAGAGCGCTTAAACTCCTTGTCTTCATTTTCAAGACCCTTCAAAGCCTATCCCATTTTTGTTCTGCCTAGCAAATTTCATTTAGTATTGTTTCAGACTGCAAGTGATAGATGTGTCTGGATACTATCACCCAGACATTACAAACCTCAATTTTTTTTTTGTGCATTTTCCGTGTTCAGTATCTACTTCCCTTGAACAAGTTTGAATATATCTCATAATCATCTTCCAATCCCTCAAATGTTTTCTTCTAAAAGAAAACTTGACAAGTCACATTGATGTTACACTAAGACCATCATCTACAATTCAAATTGACACTGACTCAACATTTCCTGGGTCATTCTATATCAAGATATTTTCTTACCTTATATATTAATTGAAATCTATTTGAAGGACAGATTTTGTGCAGCTTATATATAGCATCTATCACAATGAAGTTCTGGCCCTTAGCTTTAGGATCCTACATGCTACATATTTGCAGATGTGATGGTTCAACATGCTAACTGCTGTGGAGGGTCAGTCTCAGTGTTCAAGACCAGCTTGATTGCCAGTGTGAGTGACACTGGTGAAGGGTAGAAGCAACAACCTTTGTCTGACTCTGTGCTGGGCTGTACTTAAAGCACTCAGAATTATATTTGGCTTTTAGTGCAGGATGCATTGCCCTAGCAGCAAATCTCAGACTCTAATGCAAAAAAAGGCAAGAAGACAGATGGAAAAGTACTGTGGACTGGTCTTGGCCCAATGGATCGCCACTAGATCATATTAAAGATAACAAAATCAGGTGTAGAATCTGCCAGACAGGTGAAGAATTATAGTACATTTTTCAAAAGTACATCAGGCTTTGCAGCTTTGAACTCATTTTCAAAAACAACTCTTGTCACTCTCAGTTAAGTCTTGGGCTTCAGCATGCTTAAGTCATTCAAAACTATTAGCATGTCCCCTAGTCAGCTGAGTATACCTTCATATATTATGCCACATATAATATGAGTGTATATATTTTTAAGACTGTAGTAGAGGGCCGTAGCTCAGTATTGAAATTAATGACAATAGATGACCAAAATTAATGATATAATCAAATATCCAGAGTTGGTACTACACTTTTCAACCGTATTTGCCCTTCTCCAGATTCCTGTCATAGGCTGTCTACAAGGTATTATAGCTCCTCATCTTCACTGCACTTCACCTTGCTTTATTCCTGCTTCTTACTCACTTTCACCTTGCCTCATTCCTG